TTATAAATAATTACTATAAAAAAAATATTTTTTTATAATAAATAAATTTAAATATAATATTACTCTTCAATAAAAAAATATAATAGTACTTTAGTTTTGCAAATATTAAATTAAAATAATTAATTGATAATAATTAATTTTTAAATATATCCCTTAGTCAAATTATATAATTAACTAATATAAAAAATAACATACAAATAAAAAAACTATAAATGAGCCGAAACTTCCACATCATTTTTATCTTTGACGTGGTTTACTTAAATATTTTCAGTAAATAAGGTGTGTTACATATTATTTATTTACAAGGACATTCTGTCTATTTTGAATTCATCATGTTCCACAAAAACTACCTTCCTAACTAACTCAAGCAATGTCGTCATGCGTAAGTGTCACCTTGTTCCCAACAATCTCTTGTATGTTGAAATCTATAATGTTCAAAAGGATCCCAAGTGCTTGTAATAGATAATGAAATATTGATTCCCTAGATTAAAATTAAGAGTGTAACTCTTTTTCTCTGCCCAAAAAATGACTCAACCTAAGAAATATACCGAAATACTTGAATAAAGACAAATAAAACAAATAAAATACATTGATAAAGAAAAAAATTCAACTCAACCTCACTTAGGCAATTTAACGAATATATGGTGGTGGACATGACAAAGGGCACTTGAAGCCTTCTTGCATTTGTTTTATCAATCTCACAAATTTCAAAAAGGCGTACACTATCTTTGAAATCTAACTCGAGAATGGTCTTAAAAATAAAATAGATGATGAATCAAAGTATACTGTAGGAAATTATAATAAAAGGTTTGAAAGAAAAAGGTAAAGACTATTAAAGGTTAATCACAATATACAAATTAAACAAGACTAAACTAAATATAAAGTAATATTCTCATACATTTTCTATGATTCTTTAAATTTATTGATGGCTTCTTAGATTTCAAGTAATTGATATTAGGGTTTTTAATTTAGTATTATATATATTCTTTAACTTGAAAAAGTTTAAACGTAATAAAAATGTTAAATTAAAGCAG